GGTGGGGGGATAGTGTGGTTGTGGTGGAGGGATAGTGTTTTTGGGGGTAACAGGATAGTTGGTTGGGTGACGGATAGTGGGGTTGTGGTGGACGGGATAGTGTGGTTGGGTGGAGGGGATGTTGGTTGGGGTGGACGGGATAGTGTGGTTGGGGTGGAAATAGTGTGGTTTGTGGTGGAGGGGGATAGTGTGGTTGTGGTGGACGGGATAGTGTGGGTTGTGGTGGAGGGGATAGTGTTGGTTGTGGTGGAGGGATAGTGTGGTTGTGGTGGACGGAATAGTGTGGTTGTGGTGGACGGTAGTGTGGTTGTGGTGGACGGGATAGTGGGTTGTGGTGGACAGGATAGTGTGGTTGTGGTGGACGGGATAGTGTTGGGGTATAATTAACAGAGAGATAGTCTAGCTTTCACCTTCTTTGCACAATATGGTCCTCATGGGTTTAGCACTTCATGTAATACAAAAAAAAAAAAATGATCATACGGTGGTTTTTAATGTGTTTTTTATCAAAATTATGACTTTTATATTTTTCTAAAGACTGCAATTAAGGAATAAATTTTAATTTTTGTATTACGAACAGCTAGATTTTTTTTTAATTTCGAGATTTAACTATAAATACAGCCTGTTATACGAAACGCTTCAGTAAGTGTAGTTTCAGTAGTAGAAGCCATTTATATTTTCTCTCACTTTGAAATCACACTGATGCATACAGCACCTTGGGAGTTAAACGCACCCGTGATCATTCATTGCATGTGCATGAAATGTAGTCAATGCTCAGTTGGTTTTGCAAAGGACAAGATTTTGTGCACCACTAAAAATTAAGTTGTCTTATCAGAAACTAGTCAAGGAATGGATAAGGATAAACCAGCATTCACTTATTATATTATTATTATTATTATTACAATCAAAACTAAGACTAAGCCCCACAAAGTTATATTCCCAGCATATAATACACTTGCTAGGAACGCTCTCCATACTAAAGATGACAAGGACGGGACGAAGGTCTACAAATTCGTCAGCTTTATTGCTGGTAGTGATCGTCCAGATGGCAGTAATGACGTGAAGTTAGCAATTGCTATTTGTTGAAGAAATTTAACAGCAGATATGTTGGCAGACACAGAGACCGTAACTACAAGTCACTGGTGGATCAACTACTGCAAAGTTACCAGCGGTTGGCCTGCAACATGTCACTCGAATTGTTTTTTCTTCACACGCATTTCTCAGTTTTTCTGAGGTGGCAAGCACGGAGAAACATTCCATCAAGATGTTGCAACAATGGAAACACACTACATATGTAAACGGAGTTAGGCAATGCTTGTCGTTTTCTTTTGGATGTTCCAATGAAACCTACCAACCAATACATCTACCAACCAATACACCTACCAACCAATAAAGTCAAGCTCAGCATTTTTTTTTTACCGATACTGTGACATTCTTCGCCCATGTTGTTGGTTGCTTAACGGGGCAAGGATTAAGGGAAACTTTCAGTGTATATACACTGAGAAATATTCATTTGTCGGTGAATACTGTACATCCTGCGCCGTACGTGTTAGTGTAGGTGACAGATATACCTGGAGTTTACCTGGAAAGGGTTTCGGGGATCAACGCTCCCGCGGCTCGGTCTGAGACCAGGCCTCATGGTGGATCAGGGTAAGATCAACCTGGGTGTTACTGCTGGCCGCACGCAAGCTGACGTACGAACCACAGCCCGGTTGGTCAGGTACTGACTTTAGGTGCCTGTCCAGTGCCTTCTTGAAGATAGCCAGGGGTTTTGTGGTAATCCCCCTAATGTATGCTGGGAGGCACTTGAACAGTCTTGGGCCCCGGACACTTACTGTGTAGTCTCTCAGTGTACTGGTGGCACCCCTGCTTTTCATCGGGGGAATGTTGCATCTCCTGCCGAGTCTTTTGCTTTAATATGGAGTGATTTTCGTGTGCAGGTTTGGTACCAATCCCTCCAGGACCTTCCAAGTGTATATTATCATGTATCTCTCTCGCCTGCGTTCCAGGGAATACAGATCAAGGACCTTCAACCGTTCCCAGTAGTTTAGGTGCCTTATCGCACTTACGTGTACCGTGAAAGTTCTTTGTACACTCTCCAGGTCTGCAATGTCTTCTTCTTTCATATTAGTTGTAGAGGAAAGTTACGTACGAGGTTGATGGAATGCTGTAAAGCCTTTAATTTACTTTATAAAACATTAGTATTTTCAAGACAATGTGACGTGTTACTCAAAAAACTATTTTCATATTTATCATCACATAGGAAGCGTCTGTCTCTTGCTCAACAGACGGAGGATCGAGCCTCCACCACGTTTTGTGCTGAATAACCCACATGGGTTTAGCGCTGAACATGCATTAAACATCTGATTTAGAAGATCGCACTTCAAATGGTCATGTATGTTTGTAAAACACAATGTACCATATACACTGTATATGATATACAAACTTGTTATATATTTATATCACATGTGCTTTATTTTTTTATCATTATATTTCCTGTGAATGCTGATTGTGTTGACGTACACAGCGCCTGAGGAATCACAGGTGATCAAGTTCTATCCTAGGAATAGAAGGTAGCTCCAGTTCTCTGGATCAAGAGCCCGACAAAAGCATTGTCAGGATATCCATTTGGAGGGTTCATTGATATTGAATTACCAAGGATAACCTCAAAAAAATCAAGTGTGGCTCATTTGCACTGGAGTTTTCAAGGATGTTGGTGTATGAACTGTATATTTCAGAGCAGCTGATGGGCGGTGTGTATATCACCAGGGTGGCCACACAACGTGTTTATACGAAAATAAGAGTTGATTTTAGAGTTAGTAACATTTGCGATATCACTTATTAGTATATTCGACAGAGAAATTAAAATACTGTGACGGGGCGCTGCAAGACGGTGGTTCTAAGGACACTTAAAGGTGGGATTACCGATGGGGCTATGACAGGCCATGGGAGTAGAGACCACTGGCTTACCCGCACTAGACTTAGTGATCTGAGTGATATCAGTGGTGATGGTGGAATCAGAGAGCATTGCAGCAATGACAGTAAACTTGAGGCTGCGTGGCAGTTCTCACACGCTCGTGAATCCAGCTACCCAAGATGAGCACATGTCGACGACAAGCTTCACACACTTCACTCTACTTCTCACGTCTAGTTTACCTATACGTTACTAAGAGTGTAATGTCCAGTTCATCTACTCATTTTCGTCGCCTAAAATAAATAAAGTACGTATTTCTCTTGAGAATTTAAAAATTTTATCTTCACTTCGTTTCTCAGAAGAGATAAGAACGTTGTTTACATTAATACCAGTAGTTTACTGCGCTCATTGTTGTTCTACTGTCTGGAAATATTCTGAGTAATCCAGGACCTGAAATAAGTGTACAGAAACATAAAATCATCTGTTTAAAGCAAAGAATGTTGCAGTTTTTCTGTTTATTCGCTGTTTCTGAAGTGGTGACAGATCCAGCGATTCTGAAGTGCTTTGCTAACCATTTTCCTATTTCTGTATAAGATAAAATAACGTTTTGTTCGGATTTTTAACCCCGGAGGGTTAGCCACCCAGGATAACCCAAGAAAGGACGTGCGTCATCGAGGGACCGTCCGTCTTATTTCCATTGGGGTCCTTCAGGCTAGTCCCCCAGGATGCGACTCACACCAGTCGACTAACACCCAGGTACCTGCTTACTTGGAACAGGTGTAAGGCAACACGCCCAATGTTTCCACCCTTGCCGGGATCGAACCACGAACTCTGTGTGAGGCGAGAGTGTTGCCTACCAGGCCACAGGCCTGTGTATGTATGTGTGTGTGTGTGTGTGTGTGTGTGTGTGTGTGTGTGTGACTCACCTAGTTGAGGTTGCAAGGGTCGAGTCCTAGCTCCTGTGTGTACGTGTGCGCGCACGCGCTCCTGTAATAATATAACAGTAGCTCTAGTTCAAATATATCACGTTATCGGGTTATCTTAGGTTAGACTCTGCATCATGCACTACATGAAGCCCTTGTAAAAAATACTACATAAAACGAAAGTAAAACTTATGTTTAAGGCCTAAATAAGAACTTTCCGTTGAAAGAAAACAAGATTAGTATCGACCTTGAGAAGAGGGTAACTACGACAAAAGACGCCACTACCACAGTTTTAGTTTCTAGCCTCGTGGGATTACCTGACGGTCTCCCAGGCCAGCGCTTGGTCACTCTGTGGTGCCAGTTACAACATCAGTCACTCATCCAAAATAAATTATATATGTGGCATCATGCGACATAGTGGAGGAATATTTACCTAGAGAAGCGACGCAATGGATCTATCTCTTACCTCGTGGTGTCGACGACTTCATGGGCTCTGTCAACATAAGTCAAATTTAAAGTTTGTTTTAGTTACAAAGATATACTCTGGTCATTTTAGGAAGGTTTCTTAATCACTTACTTAGGGATAAATCTGAGTGGCGTAATATAGCGTGGAATGAGTGCGAGGGTGGTGTAAGACGGGTGTTTCTTAAGCGACCACCAGTATCATGCTAACACGCGAGCAACACTTCTACCCGGACTTGCTGCCTCTCAGAGGCCTAGCAGTAATTAATTAACAACGTTCGTTATTATATAGCTAGAATCCTTCAAAATATTCCATACAGAATCTTACCATTAGGATCTGCATATAGCTTGATATTTAGACCCGGCAGGTATCAGTGTCACCCCATGAGATTAATTCTGTTAAAAAATAATGAAAAGTTGTTAAATATCTCACTTGTACTTTAGCTACTCCTTTCCGGATAATATTAAAAAAATGCAAAACATATGGCGATCCAGGCAGCTCCACTGACCTTGCTAAAAATGCTTTTATATTTTTAGACATACAGTATTTTCATAGTACTACTGTATAGTAAAAAATGGAGTAAATATGCTTACGTACCAAAGGACCTTGTGTGTACGTCAGGGTGTGGTTGCTAGTACCTTCTTGATGACAGTTGCCACAAAAAATTACTTTTAATAAATAGGTACAAAACTTTTCATTACAGCTGAACGACCAAGAATAATAACTTGAATTTGATATAGAAAGAACGAACATCGATCTAAAACAGAAAGATAATAAAGAAAGCTTGTTTAAGAGAGTGGTGATTATTGTGAGGAAATTGAGTGTCAACATGTTTTACTGGAGTGACTCCCAGCGCTTGTGAGTGGAGCATCAGTGTTAATCGTAGCATGTGTTGCTGGAGTGGATCCCAGCACCTGTGAGTGGAACACCACTGTTCACCGTCGTGGCTCTCACCATGATTGGGAGATCTCACACACACACACTTCTCATCCTCCTTGGTAAGTCAAATTTCTACTTTTGTTTCTGCTAGAGACTGGGAATGTGTGCAAATAATTATATATATATATATATATATATATATAT